CTCAGTAAGTGTACCTGACCTTCCTCTTGAACCCACTTTACGTCGTTCCACTAGAATCTCTCGACCACCTAACCACTATGGTTATTCACCAGACCATAGCTCATTTTTTGCTGTTTTATCTACCACAAACATTCCCATATCTTACCAATAGGTCATAGTAGAACCACACTTGAAAGATGCCATGGATTGTAAGATTTGAGCACTTCTTAAGAATGACACTTGGGACCTGGTTCAAGCTCCACCTGAAGCCTCTCTCATAGGAAGTTGATGGGTCTATTCTATGAAAATGAAATCTGATGGGAGCCTAGACAGATATAAAGCCAAACTTGTTGCACATGGATACAAATAGGAATGCGGGATAGACTATGAGGAGAATTTTGCTCCTGTATCTAAAATGACTATTGTACGTCTTCTGATGGCTATATCTGCAGCCAAACAGTGGACAATCCATCAGATGGATGTCAAAAATGATTTTCTTCATAGGGAGTTAAAAGAGACGATTTATGTGAATCCTCCTCTAGGATACTGTACAGATCCGCAACTTGTTTGTCGTCTGAAGAAGTCACTTTATGGCTTAAAGCAAGCCCCTAGGGCATGGTTTGAAAAGTTCATATCCGTCATCATTGATGTTAGCTTTACCTAGAGTCCTTCTGATTATTCCTTATTCATCTTAAGGAGGAAGCGAGGAGTATGTTGATGATATACTCATTACAGGGGATGACACAGAAGGAATTTCTAGGCTACAACAGTTACTCAGTGAATCCTTCAAGATAAAGGACTTGGGGCCTTTGACATATTTCTTGGGCCTTGAAGTGAGCAAAAATTCTCAATGCTACTTTGTTAATCAACAGAAGTATGCGGCCGATCTGGTTAAATTGGAAAATCTTAGTGACTCTAAGATTGTGGACACTCCACTAGAACTGAACCTAAAACTCAGCAAAGATGATGGATCTCCCCTTGAAGATCCTACCCTTTATCATCAGTTAGTGGGCAGTTTAATCTATCTCACCATGACTCGGCCAGACATATCCTATGCATTCAGATATGTGTGAGGCACACTATCAAATGGGATATTCTTCTCCTCATCATCTCCCATTCATCTTATGGCCTATGCGGATGCTGATTAGGCTTGATGCCCTGACACCCGACGGTCTACTACTGGCTAGTGTGTCTTCCTAGGCAACTCCCTTATCTCATGGAAGTGCAAGAAACAAGTAACTGTTTCCAAATCTTCCACTGAAGCTGAATATAGGGTTATGTCTTCCGTGTGTAGTGAGATCATATGGCTTCGGGCTCTTCTATTTGAAATACTAAATGAGCCATCATTGTCTGTTCCTCTTTATGCAGACAATATCAGTGCAATAAAAATTGCATCCAACCCCGTCTTCCATGAGTGCACCAAACACATAGAAGTTGATTGTCACTTCATTCACGATCTCCTTCTTGAGGGTACCATATCTCTTCTGGGCTCTAACTAGCAGACTTGTTGACTAAAGCAATAATACGGGCTCCACATCTATTTCTCATGGACAAACTGATGCTTATTCCTAGGCATCAGTTTGAGGGGGAGTGTAGAGATGGTGAAATTTAGTCATAGAGCTATTTTTGTACTTTTACTTTTCTTTATTATATATTAATTCTTTATATTATCTCTTTCTTGTACATTAAGTACAGATCTATCATTTTACAAACTTAATATAAATATATCTTTTAGGGTGTTGTCTCACACAAAGTATCACACCCACCATTCAACTATTCTCTCTTTTTCTTTTCTGGCTTTCGAACTGAATCTGACAAAAGCAAACCCAACGGTCATAAAGGGTCTAAACCCAAATTGTTGAGATCACTTGAACAATTGAGTATGTATTACTCTCTTATAGCATGACTCTTGATCTCTCAACCTATCTTGATTTTTATTAAGTTTGATTGTGGTAGAACATTACCGGCCTCCACTTGGACCGAAGAAATTTGAGCCTCATGTCTAAACTGGCACACGTTCCTAAGAAATCACCATCAAAGGACTTTCAACTCGAAGTTGGACAAATAGGGTGCAACTACATCAAATTACCTATTCCATTAAATGGTGATGAGTTGAATGTAATTTCTGATAAGGATCAGGCATCTATTCCATTAAATGGTGAAAAGTTATTGTATACTAGTTGAAGAAATAGATTGACAAGTGCCATATTTTTGACAGAAATATGACTAACTTTCTCAAGAAGCCAAGAATGGATCCCCATTCACAATAAACAAACTGGTTGGCATATTGAGATACATCGTAATCAGGAAGTGTTAAAGTTACTACTCTCTGGATGTACTTCATACTTCATATAAATTGCCAGCCCTACTCGTAAAATCCTTTCCCCAGGAAGAGACAATAGACCTGGTACCTCGTTTGGAAACTGATGATCGACGGTGGATTAAACAACGAGCCTTTCAGCACCTCGAGAAATTGGAATTTCAAGACATGTCTCTAAGATAATATATTACTAGCGGAGTTACCCGTGCTGAGCACGGGCTTGTATATATTATGATGGTATGAGAACTGATTTGAATCTAAATCTCACAAAACTGGTTTAAGATAATAAACACTGATTTCTTTGTCCCCAACCGAATTCAACTTCTGTAGGGTAAATTGGTGTTTACACCGTTCCAGCAGCCCCTTACAATTTTGTATTAGGAATAGATTTCATGAAATAAATCATTTAAGTATAGAGATATTTTCAAGGTAAGGCTGTAAAGTCTGTTGGAACGGGCTTTGCCCTGACTAAAGCCAGACTGTTCCCAAAATATTTTAAAATGAAAGCTTTTTATTCATTTTGTATATATTTACATATTTTATTTTATATTTTATATTTTTATATTTTATATTTTTATTTTTTATGTTTTTTTATTTTTTTTTAATTTATTTAAACAATTATTTGTGTTATTTTCTTATGAACCCCATTTCATTTCATCTTTAATTTTTACATATTATTATTATTATTATTTTGTTTTTTTTACTTTCTATTTTTTTTAAATTTTTACATTTTCTACTTCTTATTTTTCTCCTTTTTTATTTGTATGTTTTTTTATTACTTTTCTCTTTCCGCCATTTGTCTCCCCTAAGTCTCCCATGACATTGTCCGAGTCTATTAAATCAGTCTATCCATTTCACATTTCCCAATTTTTTATTATATTATTTATTCCTTTTCCTTTTTTTTATTTTGTAGATTGAATTAATCAAATCCTCTCGGCCAATCACTCTTCCCTCTCAGAATCTACAAACAGAGTTTGTTATGGTATCATATGCCCGTCACCATTCTTCATTCTCTCATTCCCTTTTTCTTTTCATTATTATTTTTTTCTTTTTTTGTTTTTGTTATTATTATCCATTACTGTTCTGGCCTTCAGGGAGAGTCAACCGAAAGAATCTATTTGAATCGATACACCCAGTTAATTTAAAGTATTAAAAAATAGGGTAAATTACAAAAACCCCCTGTAATATGGGGTCTGTGACAAAGACCCCTGTACTATAACCGTGAGACAAAAATCCCCTCCGTTAGCCTTCCATACAGAAAGATGAAAAATCTGCCGTTACAATATTTTTTATCCCTATACTACCATTGTAGGACAACCTTAACCTCTGTTCGTCTTTTATACGTTTTCTCACCTTATTTCTCCCTTGCAATCATCCATCGTGTCATAAGAACCCATCTTTCCTCCCGGCGGCTACCAACACCGGACTGAACACCCTGCCGAACACCAGCGCCTGACTAACCATCGACAATGCCGAGTTCCTCATACACGTCAGGAACAACTCCAGTGTGTATATCAGCAACACGCTGAACATCATGCACGTGCTAAAGAAGCTCACCAGCTCCACCGCCACCTGCAATTTCTGTCGTGACTCACCCACCACCACGCACATTATACTGTAAATCCCGCTTATAGTTGTGAACACCAGCAGCGAACTTCTCCTGTTCACTTTTCCAATAAGAAAGAACGTCAGCAATGACGATGGCAGCTCTGATAAGGCATTGAAGGTGACGATCAACTAGAGACTGAAGGCCAGGTTTCCGACCCCCAAAGGCATCCTGTATTACACTTTTTCTCGACCAATGCCTTGATAACAGAGTAGAGATTGCCATCAAACGTCTCCGGTACGATGGATGTGCCGGAGAAGCTCACGCTTAACCTGAAGCTACTTTGATTCCTCGTGGTTATGGTTCTTAACGTCTCCACTGCTTCGTCTTTGCGTCCTTTCACCAGGAGCCATCTCGGTGATTCGCGCACTGCAAAGTGGATGATTATACAGTAAAAGATGGCTGCCACGGACGTCCACAGATAGAGGGTCCCCATGAAGACTCTCCGTCGAGGGTACGAACGCACAAGTTCCGATCGTAGCGCGACCGAACCCGTTGACGAATCTCAAGGCGGCGTAGACCCAAATGTTGGGAGAAAAGGCCATTAAAGTAGAAGTTACGGACATCTTCAGACATGAGAGCACGAGCATGTTCTTGCGACCGAGAAACGAGTCCACCAGCGAGGCAGCCCACGAAGAATGACAACGCCGGTAACCCAGCGATGATGGGGCCGGTGCAGGCGAGGTTCCATTCCGACAGGACGAATATCCGTGACGGCTTATCCCAGGCCCATGCATCCTTGGGAAGTAAGCAAAGGTTGGCGGCAGAGTTGCAGGAGGGGTCGTCTTGGCGAGAGCAATGCCAGGTGGGCTCGGCGTCGGTGAAGACCCTAATGAAGGTCTGCTAGGCATCGAAGACCCATGTGAAGGAGACCAGGATGGCTTGCAGGAGCTGAGCCCACCCGAAACTTCCTATACACCGTTCGATGGTGTCGTCTAGAGAGGGAACGTGCTTCTCGAGTCGTGGGTGTTCGTTTATATGTAGGTGTCCGTCTAAGGTGGCCACATTACTAGGTCCCACGTCATATGTAGGTGTTCGTTCATGGTGTCCAATCCATACTCAGATAATCCATGTCCGAGTTGGAGTTGTGCACTGCATTCATTCAAAGATTCCCACCTTTGAACTCAAAAGTTCATGGTCACAGAATTGGAGATAGAGATGAAAAAGATGGTCCCACATGAAGCAAAGCCGTCTGTCTGATAATGGGTGGGTGTTATTTCCGCCAAATTGAAAATGTTAACTCGATTTGTGAAGGGTATTTTCGTCAAATAACATTTGTCTCGCAAAAGAAAGTATTTCTCACAGACCCTATATATATACTATAGGGTAGCTTTTGTAATTTACCCTAAAAAGTATTATATTCGAATCAAACAGTTGATAAGGCAAACACAATAGGAAAAACACAATGTTTAATCACACCATTCCCTAATGAAAACACTCCAAGACTTCGTTTGACCCAAAACAAGGAGTAAATAATTAACGGCGAATAACAGGAACCTGAAGCATTTGAAGCTTGAAGGGAGATCTAAGTAAAGATGAAAAAGAACGATAATAACAGATAAGCAAGGGCGTATTTCAATCCTTCTCCCTTTCACATTCGTCATTGGCTAGGGAATTTACAGAGAACAGCACTTCAGAGTTTCATCACCGTCTTTGGTAACTTCTACAGATCCCCGTCATCCCATAGCAAAACACAAAGAAAGAAAAAAAAAGGATAAAAAATGAGAAAGCATAGTGAGAAATAGGGCTTACCTGGGCTGAATGTTGGCCCGAACACGGTTACTGGAGCAGAGGAGCTTCAGTCTGCTATAGTCGGATATTGCTAGCTGGAATAGAAATGATCTCCATGAACTGTAACCGGGACAATGGTGAGAAGAAACGATTCCTTGGATGCAAGTTTTTCCCAAGCTGAAAAGAGGGACAGCTCGGATGATGGATATTTTGTGACTTTGCTCAGCCGGTGAAGAATATGGAGAACGAAGAATCGATGAGCAGTCGGGGAAATCCAACAATGTGAAACACACCAGTACGAATGATGCAGAATGATGAGGAAATCCAAAAATGGTGAGAAATCCCCAAAAGCAGGAAGGAGAAATAGATCGGCGTTGCTGCAATGGCGGTGACTGATGAAACAGAGGGAGGAGGACGAGAGAGAAGAAGAGAAATAGTTCCTTCCAGAAGATCGCCGAGGTGGTAGGTATGGACGAAAGCTGGAGAAGAGATTTCACGTGACGAAAAACTTCACATGCGGATACCTCATCCCGCTGGAAGTAGGGGTGTCCACGGTTCGGTTAACCGAACCATGGGCATTTTTTTGTAAACCAAACCGGTGGTACCAGTTTTTTCCAATTCTCTAAATTGAGACTAAACTGATATCATCGGTTAACCAGTCTATTGTTTTGGTTTTTGATTGGTTCGGTTTTTCGGTTTTTCAATTTTTTATATTTATAATATATATTATTATATAATAAATAATAAATGATATATAATATATTATAAATATTTGAAATATAAATACATATATATACCAGTCGATTCAATTAATTGTTGGTTTTTTGTAGATTAACTGAAAATCGAACCGATCTTTTAGTTTTTCAAAAATCTCAAACCAAATCGATTTGATTAACCGCATTTTATGATTTGATTTTCTCGATTTAATTCGATTTTTCGGTTTTTTATGAACACCCCTAGATGGAAGCGGTTTTCACCCAATCCTACGGGAAGGAAAGGGTGAACTTAGTATATATAATAGAAGGAGTTGGGTTCATGAATATTCTAGAACATGTTGTTGAACTTCAACTAGATAACCTCTCAATCAACTGACCTGTTCCCATATCATGCATGATAGTCAAAATTCTATGTTCTATGGGTGGTGTTACAACTTACAAATTTGTAACCTCAATAGAGTTCAGCCAGTCAATGAAACTATTTTTCCATCAATTGTAGCTGCCACCAGCCACCTAGCTTCCAATGCAGATTCATGTTAAATCAGACCCTAATCCTGAAGTTTGATTTTACAATAATGTTAATAGGAAAATGAAAATTGCACAAGGGAATATGATTCAGGACTGAAGTTGAAATAAATTTAAAAATAGGACAGGTGGAACATATACATGATAAAAAGTAATGGTGACTTTGCTGTCTACAAAACTAATTGAATTTCACGAAATTCCTTTAGGCTCTGTCTTGTTATTTGCAATGCAAATTACATGCTTAGAAGTGCAGAATTTCAGATAGGCAGTGTAGTGTATTCTAGTTTGCTTTTTCTTTAAATTTCACTTTGTTCTATTTGTTTCTGAGAAGTAAAAGCAGGTTGTTCCACATAATATGAAAGAGAATGGAGGTAACATGAAGGTTATTTGTTTGGGAGTGAGGTAGGAAACAAGATGTAATGCCCAGTTTATATAAGATAGAACCTAGGTAGGAATTATAGAAAAAAAATAAAGAAGGGGGGTAGGAAGAAGATGGTATAAATTTTGTAGCACTAGTTCTTGGGATACAATTCTTGTTGCCCATGAGTGCAAATGAGCCAAAATGTACAAAATTTATATAAGGCAGGACTGCATATCATAATTAGAAAACTGAACGGGATCCAAAATTTATCTCCAGTTTCAGATTTGCACTGCAGCCTTGAGATCTTTCCCCCTTAGTTGCAGTTAAACTTTATTTGCATTAGTACAAAACTACAAATGCATGGGATTGCAAATGAAAAAAAATGCAAATTCTGGTTTAATTATGGTTTGGGTTTTACTTTATTCTGTTTTAGGTCTTATTTTACTTCATTTGTACTGCAATCAAACAAAATGAGGTAAAATTTGAATTAAACAAAAATAATTCAGAATTTGCACCCAAATCAATTGTGCTACCATAGTTTTACACAAGGATCGAAATATCGTAATGTATCAAGATGTATCGGCTAATACGTATCATATCATATCAGCGACCCTCCGATACATCCTTACACTTAGTTTTTTGGGGCCCACCTATTTTAGGGGGTAGACGAGCCTTCCCTTGAGCCAATTTGAAAGGGAAAAAAAACTAAAAAAATAAAGGCAGCCTCCGATACAGGTCAATACACCCCATTTGACGTACCAATTTGTTCGATATTTTGAACCCTTGTTTTACAAAGCAATAGATTTTGTAGAAGGAGATGTTGCAGATATCCTAGGGGAATTATAATAGTAGCATATATCATGTGCAAACAAAGCAAGGTTAGGGCCATTCTACAAAGCAAAATGGTAGATTTCAGGTCTGAAATTTTTAATTTAAAGCAGCAAATTCATGATGGAATCATATGAAAATTTTCAAATTTGATTACTCTATTAAGTAGTAGAATATATTGATCATATGCAAACAAAGCAAGATATAGGCCATGCTATAAAGCAAAATGGTAGTTTTCAGGTTTGAAAATTTTAACTCACTATTTTAAGAGATCTATCGAGATACGCTTTCGACATGCATAAATATAGATAAAAAATCAAGATACGCATGAATACGCTAGAAAATTCAAAAAAAATCCCTAAAAAGTATATTAATAACAATAAAAAAAAGTTTTATGTGATTATAACTAATTTATTTAAACATAAAAAGTCATACTTTAATGATTTATATAAAGTATTGGGACAAAATTAGTAATTGTTGAAAACTAATAAAAGAACTAAAATGTATGTGTGTGTATATATACTAATATTTATTATGTATAGATTTATATAATATTTATTATGTATATAAGTTAATATACATATACCTTAATTTTTAATAAATAAATATGATTTGTATTAATTTTATTATTATATAAATTTTAATAATCAAATTTTAGCATTTATTGAAAAATATCCAACAATAGAAGAAAAATTACTTTAAGAATAAAAATGCATGCTATTAAGATAAGCAATTAAGGTTGGCATAGTGGCTAATTAATTGTTGTCATTGTAAATAAATGACTAGGGTTTGAAACTTTTTCCCTTCAACTTATGCTTTTAATAAGTTATTGACTTAATTAGCATTTAATGACGTCTTAAATACCTTAATTAAAGATAACTCAAATGAACATTTAATTAAATAATATTAACATTTAATGATGTCTCAAATATAAAGGCTTAATTAAAAGTGATATAAATGAGAGAGAAGAGATAAATTAAATTTAAACTAGTGAGGAGTCGTGCAATGCACTGACTTTGTTAAAAGAAAGTTAAACAATAGAAATACATAAGAGTAGACAATTGTTTTATATTTTAACTTTCTAAACTATTAATAATTATTTATATTTTATATAATATTTTTTGTAATACAAAAATAATAATAATTAATTTCAGCTAGGGTTGTTCATCAAACCGATGAAACTGACCAACTCGACCCTAGTTGGTCACTTTCTAGTATTTTCATTCGGCTTTGGTTTAGTAATTTCCCAACCCGACCAGGTCGGGTAAGTTTTGGTTAGACCATTTGTAAACTGACCAAAATCGAACCAACCTAACCATAGATATATATTAATATTTTATATTTTAAATATAATTTTTTAATACATGAAAGTAGGAAAATCCCATGTTTCTTAATCTAAAATATTTATATTGTAAATTTAAAATTTAAAATTTAAAATTTATTTTTTTAATAATATCATTGTAATTTTTTTTAATTTAAACTTAATTTTTAAAGCTTAAATCTTTTCAACCAATCGACCAAATCAAAAATTGACCTACATTAATACTAGTGTTTTTAACCTGTCATTGACCTAGGCAGTTGAACCATTCAAATTGACATCCGGCCTTGATTTTGGGTCTAGTTCTATTGAAACCCGCCATTCAATCCAAAATTGCCCAACCCAAAAGTTCAATCGTTGATCCATTTGATTTGGTCACCAAGTTGTAGGTAGCACACTTAATGCATGTACAAACTTTCAAAGGCCATAACTTTGCACTCCAATGTTTGATTAAGATGATGTTTTTTAAATTTGGGATAAATTTTCGAGATCTATGTGTCCCAATGTGCCATGGACGCCTTACCTTGCTATTTTTGTAGGAAAAAAAAGCTTTTTTGGCCTCAAATCATAATTTTTATTATTTTTATAAAGAAAAAATACAAATTGAATTAAAAACCAAAAATAAAATATAAAATAATACATATATACATATATACACATTTATATATGTATTTTAATATATATATATATATTTTAAATATATAGAGTGCTGATGTGGAACGATCTAAGCCGTTTGACCCAGACGGTTGAACCGGTGATCGTGACTCAGATGCAAAAGCGGGTCAGTCTCTGGGTCATTTTTTTAAAGCATTGACCAATCCAACTAAAGTTGGTCAGTTC